AATTGTTCTCATGACAAGCGTCACGTGTGCCACCTTGCATCAGATTAAGCAATGGTGAACAAAGTGACCTTAAAATTTCAAGTATTGCATCTTATTCAAGCTAGAGAAATTATGCTTATGTCAATTACATAAAATTAAATGTATATTATTTTTTTACCTACGTGATTGCTTTCATCTCCTTTTTATTCATTAACTTGATTTTAGTAATACGATTTTGTTTGAATAATATATCAAAAACCATCAAGTTAATATTTATTCCTTTACATGCCAATATAGATATTCGTAAATATATGTTAGACGTATCGGCAATCGAGGATAATGTTTCTCGACAGTATTTGCTCTGCGCGCACTCGTTAAAATCGTTCTTGGAATTAATGGACAGGTTCAATGTAAATATCACACGATCACACACGTCACGAAGGTGTTCGAAGACAGTGCGTTTGAGTCTGCGTTCACGCGGCATTTATAGAAGAGGCGCACGCTCGCAACTCTTCTGCGAAAGGCTTGGGAGAATCCGAAACATCGCGTTCGTTCTCAGTAGCACGTTGCACGCACGAAGAGCCGAATCACCAGAAGAAACAATGATTTAATCATTAAACGATCGATGAAAATTCGATCAAGTTCTTTCATTAAATTACGAATCTTCCAAATTTAAGTTCTTTTTGTCCGGCTTTAACGTGAAATTGAAAGTAACAAGTGGCAGCTGGTTAAATTTTTTTAGTTGCACCACGACAGGAGGATTTTTTAATCGCCAGGTGTTGAACACAGAAACTGCATTTCGAAAGTAGTTGACTTTAAGTTTCAGTAGCTAACAAATAGGGTGGAAACCATGGCTGGAAAATACAATTCCGACGGTGAGTAATTACAATGTTTTCACTTTGAAATCGATTAAATTAAATTAAAAATTGGATATTAATAACACTGACGAACAAGTGAGAATGATGAGTGAATTCCAATTCTTCGTCGTGCTTTTCGTGCATGAAAGCTTTTCTTTCTTCTTCATCCCTTTGACCTTCAACTGTCCTCTGACTTAGAATACTGTATATCTCAGTTTTTTTTTTTTTTTATCGAAATTGAATTAAACCTGATTTTCGATTGACCTGATTTCCAGATTATCAAATATTAGATAACTATATAAATCTAAGATAAAATTAA